CAGTGTGTTTTAGCCACCATTGTTTTTTTCTGACACATTGTCAAGATGTATGCATCACTTGTGAATAAAACTCCTTACTCTTGAGGCTTCAATTTATTTCATCATTGCTTAAGTTACACTCCACACCATTCTGATATTATGCTGACAAGGCTGCAGTTAGTGCAGGAGAAAACCTTTGATAACAGTGTGTCAAGAGTCACAGCCCCCGCCTGCTGCATCCCCCTTTTTCAGCCTAACGAGATTGTAATTCTCAGTGCATGTCACATAAAATACTTTGTATACCGCCCTACATACTCTACATATATGTGTCGTTCTGGTGTCGAGACTCCACTTCAAATGGCCAGAGACCATGGGAACGCAACATAGGCACTGTGCAGACTTGCTGCACAGCCCTCTGTGCAGTCACTTCATGATGGCCTCAACCTTCCTTTTACAGGCTGCGCATCCTCAACTTTGTTTTTTTTTTTTTGAGAGGCACAATGACATACTTGACAACTGACAATCGGTACAGCCTCAAGCAGTCGGGCACATAGCGCAGGGTCTTGCACCAGTTAGGGACACTTTGCCCTAATCTAGTATGTAGCAGACCGTTGATAAGCCTCGGGATCGTCTGACCCCCGAAAACGCGGACTCAGTGCATCGTACAAGCCCTCCGGAGCTTATTCGACACAGCGCTCACACGCCTCTAGGCTTCTATGGGCTCTAAAGACTTGCTCTGTTTTAGCTCGGGACTTCCTAACATCCTTGAGGCGTACACGGACCCATTCCACGATTTATCTCCGTGAACAGGAGCTCCGGAGCGACTTAACCAATGCAACGTCTAGATGAATTAGCTCCGGGGCCCGCGGGAACTTCTATCGAGGGGCGTCGTCCTCATGCCCACCCTCCAGCACTCACTCCCCCTCATTTCCGTCAAGATACCGAAGGTGCGGACGTATACGAGTCACCATGAGGCCAGCATCAGTCAGCAAGCAGCCGGAGGTAATTAGCACGTGACCGGCGCATCGCACGGAGTGATGGGACCGCTTGGATCAGGTTGCGGAGCATCGAGGCGACCTCTAGGGGCTGGGATGAGCAAGTGGGAGTGCAAGAGAGTCGTATGGTGTATGGTATAACGGCAGCAAGTGCTGAGCAATCCTGTGGGTAGTGGCGTTTATTTGTTATTTATCTCCAGACGGTCGCAAAGCCATTCCTGTAGTATAAATTGTACAAAGTAGCGTACAGAAAAACAAGTTTTCGACTTCACCATCTCAGAGAATTAACGTTACGATCTCAGCGACCCGAGAAGTTCGAAAGCGTAGAACTTAGCGACTTATAACCAATCCTAGCTTTGCCAATAGGCCTGACTCATCGAGAGAAATATCTCCGCCATCGATTTAACTAGTTCCGGTGAGGTTCACATAGCGAAACAAAATTGAGCAACTCTTTCTAGCGTCTTCTACTCCCGTGAGCCCGAACCTACACTCGGTTCCGTGGTTTGCGACTTTGTTTGCGCCGTTTCGGAGATAAATACTCCGGAGCATCCATTAGTGTTTGTTTCAGGTGTCAAGGTTTTGTTTTATTTTTCTAGGTCTTCCTACGGACTACCCTACGTCGTCTTACTCCTCCTTTCCCCCTCGAGCTATTAAAATACCCCTCAGTTGTCTCGGACCGCCTTCACCCATATCACGGGGTTTAGGTTTATTTCCTTTGGTCCTTGGTGATTGTTGTGTGTCAGTGCATATCACCGTAAGCGGAAGAGCGCTAACTCTCCAGGAAGAAATGCATTTGCGCAGATGCGTGAGAAAGAGCCTTTGACATCAAGGATATCCCACAGTACTGTGGGACTCAGCTAAACATGCAATACCCACTGAAACTCCCTGATGGTTCCTGCGGGATTTGAACCTGCAACCTGTGACTGAAGGCTGGCGCTTGCCGAAGCAAACCTAGCATATCCACTGAGCCACCGGAGCCATCCTCAACTTTGGCACTTTGGGAGTTACACTCTTTTGGGCCTAGTAAAAGATTGTATGGTAGGGATATATGAAAGATTGGCTTTTGTAAATGATTTTGGGGCTCACAAAAGATAATCTTTATTGAGAATTTCGAAGCTTGTAATATATATTTTCAGCAGTATTATCTT